CTTTTTTGTGGTTGAAAATGAAGGAAAAGTTATTGATGTGATGGAAAATATTATTTTATTGATGAATGTGTGGTTGAAAATTAGTAGAAGAATGAGAATGAAAAAAAGAATGGTTACCAAACGGTGCCTAATTCCTTAATTGGCTTTTAATTAATCATGTGCATTCTTTGAACATCAATATCATGGGCCTAACTTATCCGAAATAACTTGTTCTCGAGTACAAAATTTGCCCCTTAATATAAGCTTTGAAACAAGCCTAATATCGATATGCAATTTCTAGCTAGATGAATACTTGATTATTTGACCGAAAGCTAAAATTTGACATAAAGAATTATTTTTAAATTAGTCCCTCGATACCTCAAAATAAACCAAAACATGTCAAGAATGAAAATAGATGAAAATTTATTTTCAGTTGTTACAGTTTTTGTGGTGGTGGCTATGGTTGGTGATCTGTCGGTTGTGTGGTGGTGGTGGTGTATTGTGTGGTGGTGGTTTTTGTGGTAGTGGTTGTGGTGGTGGTTCCGGCAATGGTGGTGGTTGGGGGTGACAGTAACTGAAAACAATAAAAACATGTTTTGAAAATTTTGGCCAAATTATAACTGAAAACACCTAAAATGACAAATTTATCGTTTTGGATTTTCTTTGTAAATTTTAAACTTGTTTTCAAAAAAGCGTTTTCGAAAATAGAAAAATGAACGCGTTTTCACTATTTTGGAAAATCGAAAACAGAGAACAACTTGAAAACGGCAAAGAGAACGGCCAGTAAAGCCAATGAAAAAGGCCATCGCAGGCAAGTTAAGCGAAAGAGGCTATCATCGGCGAGTGTAGTGGAAGAGAGAGGAAGAGAGGGAGACAACCAAATCCTAAACTTTATTTTCACAAACACGAAGATGATACTTGAAAGTTGAAAGCCAAAACCTAGGCAAATGATTTTATATTTTCTTTTTTTAAATAAAAAATGGAAACATTTTTTTAAGTACATCAATGGGTCAATACTTTTTTAAGTGGGTCAACTTCAAAGAAAATAAATGTATTTTAAGATAATAGATAAGTATACGGTTTACATTTATTATTGAAATAGATATGGTACTAAATAATTGACAACTAGAGCTTTATTTACTACTAAAAATAGACAATAGTATTTAAACTTTTAATACATTTATTGTTTTTTTATAATATAAATCGATGTTGAAATTTTTGAATTAACCAACTAAAAATGCTACACACATATATTATATATAGATACCCTATCCTATATTCGCGTATCCTAATTTTTTTAAAAAGATGTATCGGCATCTCTGATGCTCGGACTCTTCGAAATAATTGAAGTACCCGTGTCGGATACGACACGACATGGGCATGGGTATGGGATATGTGTCGTATCTTCCAAATTTCAACCGGACAACTTCGTCGTTTTGGCATCTTCTTCCTTCTTTTCTTCCTTCTTTTCCTTTTCTATGGCTTTTCTTCTTTCCCACTTTGCTCTCTATAAACCTAGCGTCGTTGCCGAGAGGGTGGAGAAAGGCGGCGACACTAGGTTTTACCTTCTTTTTCTTCTTCTTTCCTTTTTCTTTCCATTTTCTTCTTTTTTTCCTTCTTTCTCTCTTTGTATCAGTGGTTTAGGATTTTATTTGTATAAAATGAAAATGGGTTCCATATAGTGCTACTTAGTGCTCCACTAAGTCAAATTACAGTCAAGTCCCTTATTTTATATTTTATATAACATTTAGTAATTCTCATAATTAAAAACTAAACCCCAAAATTTTATTTTATTCGTCTTAACCTCGTATTAAATACTCATTTCCTTCATTATGAATAATTAATTTTGGTCTATTCAAAATAACATCCTGAATTAGTAAAAAAATGAAGTTTGAAAGACGTGCCTACATACCCGTGTCCGAAATTTGGACTTTTTTTAGCCATATCTCTGTATCCTATATTTTAGAAAATAAAAGATCTGACACTTTGATACGTACCTGTACCCAATACTCATACCCGAGTCCGAGCATCATAGATCGCGTACCCTATCGTATCATATCCAAATTACCTTACTTATCAACACATTGTTTATCGAACTCGACTCTTAATAAATTCACTAAAACCTAATAAAATAGTACACATATACACACGTTCATACACACACACATACATATGTATACATATACACATATTCATAAGAATGAATCTTCAAGTAAATATTGAAACTTACTCTTATCAACTCATTGTTTATCCAATTCAATTCTTATGAATTCACTAACACCTCAAAACAAAATACAAATATACACCCATTCAAAAACACACACACACATTTATATAGATATTCATAAGATTGAACATCCAAATAAATATTATACTTTATAAACTTTTTCTTTATCCAACGCAACTCAATTCTTAATAAGTTCATTAACATCCCAAAAAAAGAAAAAAACACATAAATATAAATAACATCTCATAAATAAGTTCACTAGTCTATACACATAATATACATATTCAAAAAGAGAATTTCATAAGTAACAAAGACTAACTGAACCTTCAAGTGAACATTGTACCTTAGTTAATCAACTCGCTGTTTATCCACCTAAATTCTTAACACCCCACCCCACCCATAAAAAAAAAACCAAAAAATATAAAAGATACAAAAAACAGACATACACGAGTTCATACACATATAACTGTACATATATCTTCACAAAGAGAATTCCAAAAATACTCCATCTGTCCCATAAATATAGGTTTGCTTCCATTTTCACACGGATTAATAAAATATAATTCATATAGTTGAAAATATAAAATTTATTTATATTTTTTCTAATATACCCCTACATTAAATAATGGTTTAAATAGGAGTAGTTCATATTTGTAGATATCGGGGCACATTAAATAGAGGCATATTGAAAAACTAAGAAATCAACTATACTTACAAAAAGGAAAGTGAGCTGTAATTTGGAAAAGCAAGACTATCTTTATGGGACGGAGTAAGTACTAATGATTATATTAAGTAAATATTTTACCTCACTTGCACAACTCAATGTTTTCCAACTCAATTCTTGACAAATTCACTAACATCTCATAACAAAAATACACATATACACCAGCCCATTAACATGTATACGCATTCACAAAGCGAATTTCACAAACATCAAGTATTGAAGCTTCAAGTAAATATTGTACCTTATCTTATCAACACACACTTTTATCCAACTGAATACTTAATAAATTCACTAGCATCCCAACCATAAAAATACAAACAAAAACCATTCACGCACAAATATATACATAAATACAAATTCATGCTGGGAACTCACGAGTGAGGAGGGGAGGTGGGATTTGTTTGCACCCCATTGGAGGCGGCACCATTCTCGGAAGGAGGAGCTGAAGACTTCCTTAGGGTAGACGGATTCCGCTTCTGAACCATACTGTTCCGTCTCGTAGCCACATGACCACTCATTTTCCTTTGATTCTTCCCCAAATTATTGCATCTACAGAGACGTATATGCTTCTACATATAACAAGATTATTGGGTTTTTTCTTTCTTATGCGGAGGATAGAATTGGAGAGGTTAGGGCTTTGGTTGAACGAGGGAATAAATTCAGATGCCCTCCCCCCCTCTCTGAAATCTTTGCTGTTTCTTGTTCTGCCTTTGTTCCTAAGCGCAGAGACAGAAATTGAATTATTTGAGAATTTCGAATATATATTGTTATTCGTTATTTGATTATTAGGGTTGAAAATGAGAAGTGATTGGGTGGCGGTTGCAATTACACCTCGTGGATTATATAAATGTTATTTATGATCTTGTTGAAAAAATAATTCTAACTAAAGAATTATATTACATGTCAATACAATAGACCTTGGTAAAGATAAGAATAGCGTGGGCAAAAAAAATCGAACAAACCAAATTGAGTTACATCGATTTAAACCAAAAAATGGATTTGATTTGATTAATTTTAATCATTAAAAAGTCACGTCACGTTGATTGTGGTTTAAGCAACTAACCCATCAATTAACCAACCAACCCACTAATACATTTTTTTATTTTCTTATTTCATATATTTTAAACTTAAAAAATAAAATAATAAAAATATAATTCTTTCTCAAATAATTTGTTTACTATATACATTTCTTTTACCAAAGTTCCAAATTTCACAAAAAAAAAAAAAG